CCGTTTGAAGAAGAGCTTGTATGGATTGAAACAAGCTCCCAGACAGTGGTACAAGAAGTTTGACAACTTCATGGGCAGCAACGGTTTCACTAGATGCCAAGCAGATCATTGTTGCTATATCAAGAGGTTTGACAATAGCTTCATTATTTTATTGTTATACGTTGATGACATGCTCGTTGCAGGATCAGATCTGCAAGAGATTATAAATTTGAAGCAAAAATTGTCAAAGCAGTTCGCGATGAAAGATCTTGGTGCTGCAAAACAGATTCTTGGAATGAGGATCAAGAGAGACACGAAGTCTAGAATCTTGATGTTATCACAGGCTGAGTACATCAACAAAGTACTCTCCAGGTTCAACATGCAAGATGCAAAACCAGTGGGTACACCTTTAGGTGTTCATTTCAGACTTTCTAAAGAACAGTCATCGAAGACAGATGAAGAGCGTGCACACATGGCGAATGTCCCGTACGCCTCAGCAATTGGAAGTCTAATGTATGCCATGGTCTGTACAAGACCAGATATTGCTCAAGCAGTGGGAGCTGTTAGCAGGTATATGAATGATCCAGGCAAGGTACACTGGGAAGCAGTCAAGTGGATCCTCAGATATCTACGAGACACTACAGGTAAAGCACTTTGTTTCAAAGGTGGAGATACAATACTAACAGGCTATGTAGATGCTGATCTAGCAGGAAATGTTGATATCAGAAAGAGCACTACAGGGTATGTATATACTCTAGGAGGTACTGCAGTGAGTTGGGCTTCTCAACTGCAGAAGATAGTTGCTCTCTCCACAACTGAAGCAGAATATGTCGCTGTTACAGAAGCCAGCAAGGAAATGGTGTGGCTTCAAAATTTCTTGGAATTTTATTATAGTTTTATACCCTCATTATCTATTTTATATGAATAAATATACCACTAATAATTGTTTTTATCTTTTAATTGCAGGTTAATGAAGAATAAATCTCAAACTCCAATCTCTCAACAAAAAGCCCTTGATTTAATGAAGAAATAAAGCAAAGAAGCCCATTGGAAAATCAATTGCCAAATTATCCAAAAGGCCAAAATCAAAAAGAAGAAAACATCAACAGAAGCCCAAATGAAGAAAAAAATACCAAAAACCCAAGCCCAAAAGCCAAAGAGAAGAGAAGTTGCGGGCTGAAAAAGGAGGCAGGCTGACATCGATGCCGGCATCGATGCCCGCATCGATACCCCTATCGATGCTGGTATCGATGCCATCGTCATTCTGCGATGCTGGCATCGATACGCTGGCAGTTAGTTACAGATTAGTGGCTGAAATTCAATTGTTTTGGATAAGATTTTGATCCAATGGCTTACATTCACTGATGTTTACTATAAATAGGGGTAGAGAGTGAGGGGTTAGAGGTGTGAAAAATTTTGTAACTCCTTTTGGAGAGGAGAGCTACTCTTAATTGAGAAGGCCTTCTAATTTTTTCACCACTTTAAATATTTCTTCTCTTTGTTGGATGATGAAGATGGAGATGAAGAATTATTTAGAGGTTTGCATTTCTTTTCTTTTTCTCTTTTATTTCTTTTTTTATTTATTGCTTATTAGTTTAGATTTATTTCTATGCTTATAGTTAGATTTTATTTTCTTGTTAAATAGCCAAGAGGCTAGAACCCTCTTGCCTTAGATTTATTTCATGCTTATAGATTAGATTTATTTTATGCTTATAGAGTGGATTTATTTTCTTGTATTTAATTCTTGTAATTTATTTTATAGTTTAGATTTTGCAATTTATTTTGTAGTTAAATTTTAATTTCTTGCACTATTCACCTTGAGGCTAAACCCTTTTGGGTTTAGTTTTTTTTTTTTTTCATTTTGTTTGATTCGCCTTTAGGCTAGAACTCTCTAGGGAATCACCCTTTTCTAAGAAGTGGGTTCAATTGATTCGCCTTTAGGCTAGAACTCTCTAGGGAATCACCCTTTTCTAAGAAGTGGGTTCAATTTTAGATTACCCATATCTATAATTGAATCCACCATCTTTAATTTATTGCATTTTCTTTTATTTCTTGAATTTTATTTTTATTCTTAATTTTCATTTGTTTCTCGATTTTATTCATTCTTCTTTCTTGCCTTATTGATCACATTTATTTTTACTCACATCCACTCTCAAACACATTGATCTACACACTATCACTCTCATTATCTCTCCACAATCACATTCACTCATCGCTCCTATTTGTCACACACACAACATAAGAACCGATTTTATATTTTCTCCTACAAAACACCTTCCTCGTGGGATCGATATCTTTATACTATAACTTGACACGGTTGTGCACTTGCAATAATTTTTGGTACATGTTTATGCCGCATCACCCGTGAAATTTCGAACATATTTTTTGTTGGACCCTAGAGGGGGGTGATTAGGATCTTATGCTAATCTAATCTGATTTTATGCTAATTAAAACTTATTAAATAAATATTCTTGCAAGATAGATATATAATATGATATGAGCAAGAATATGCAATATGAATGAAGAGATATATCCTAGCAAAAAGGTATATGATGAAATATATGCAATGATATATAAACTAACACAAGAGGAAAATAAACAATGCAAATACACAATATGATCACAGAGTTCGGACCTTCCGTCCTACGTCTCCGCTCCCCACTCCCGGAGAGAAATCCACTAACACAACCATGTTTTCTACGCTAACCCGAATAACGTTTATACCACACAATATCGGTTTTCAACGCTCACCGATCAACGATCACAATCTCACAATGTTACTATACTCTACACCCTCTAAGTGTTGGTTTCTTCGTGTGCTTCCTCAAGTGCTTGGATACAACTTCTCCCTAGGTTCGTCAACCGACGCCACTCCTCTTGGAAGCAACCCCGTCTCTCACCACACACTCCTCTCGGTGTACTAATGTAATACAAAGTGAATTTCACAATTAGGCACGATACAAAGAGATTGTTCTCTGCAATGAATGAGAACAAAATATAAGCTCACTCTCTAGGTTACACAATCCCACAACCCAATTATACTATGAATGTAAATACAATAAGCTCAATGGTTGCGTGTGTAAACAAAGAGAAATAAAATCAAACTCAATTAAAGTCTAGCAAATATAAATATGACAATGTAAATATAAATAAGCTAGATATTTGAGTTGAGTATAGTTGGATGCTCAAACACCAATAGACGATCTCCTCAAGCTCTTGTGAAATAGATTTCACAAACTCGAACTCTCAAATACTTAAAAGCTTCTTAAACACTCTTTTAAACAAAAACAAATCAAGCTTAAACCCTTGTTAAAATCTTTTAAAACATTCTCTTAGATATCTTGAAAGATGAGAGCAATGTGGTATTTATAGAAACCCAAAACATCAGTAGAAACCCAAGCAAAATGACCAAAAAACCAAATCCCACAAAATCTGAAAAGTGCAGAAATATAGCCGTTATTGATCGGTGGTCGACCGCAGAGCCACCCAGCTAAAAAACAAAGTTGACTCTCTGGATTTTCTACGGTCGACCGCAGCGCCAAGGGCGATCGACCACGATCTGATGAAAAATAAAAGCAGTCTCTAGAAAATTGGCGGTCGACCGCAGCGCCAAGGACGGTCGACCACGAGCTGTTGAAAAATAGAGCACAGTCTCTGGACTATCGGCGGTCGACCGCAGCGCCAAGGGTGGTCGACCGCGAACTGATATTTCAGATATCCAGGTTTGAAAATAAAATACTGAATTTTAAACTGCCTTTAAAATTAGCAAATAAATTCAAAAAAATATAAAACTTTGGGAAATGATTGTAGACATGATAATACACATGCTACAATAACTGGTTTTTAAAAAGGACCTCCCAAATAAAAAATATCATCATTTTGCAAAATAGTCTTAAACATGAAAATGTAAATATATGAGTTTTGACATTTTAGCTTAACCATGTTTTGAAATATTACAAAATGATTATATAGACTTAGTAAAAGATGTATATGATTATTGTTAAGTCCAAAAACTAATAAAAAATATATTTTCACAAAATTGTATATTCTATACAATATAAATTCAAACATAATAGAGTATGAAACATATGAGGATGTATATGAATATATATTTGTTTCATATCTATGAAATTAAACCAAAACACAATAATAAATATGGAATATGTAATTTCATATTTATATAAACTTGGAAACCAAAACATGCATGTATATATATAACTATATATATACATAGAAACCAAATACGTGTGTGTATATATGATTGAGCTTAAAGTACCAACACACATAATATAAATCTAAACTAATGTTACCCAAGCTTGATCTTGATCTTCAATAAGCTTGACTTGGTAAACTCGCGGATGAAGCTAGAACTTGGATCTTCAATTTGAATTACATAAGCTTCACTCCACAATTCCGTCAACCTCCATTGGATTTGATCGTTGAAGCGCAATCCATCCAACCTCCAATTCGTTGTTTGTCTACAATAAATATATAGAAACACACAAATACTAGACAAACAACATAAGTGGTAAATTGTTTGTTAAACATCATCAAAACAAAGAGGCCAACATTTTTGTCAAAATCGACCTAATTTCAGCCAGATGGCTGAAACTGGATCGATTTTGACAAATAAGTTCAAAAGAGATCGAAATTTGTAATTATTTTGTAAATGAGTCGATTTTCAAAATTTGTCCTCTCAATGTTTTCGCAAAGAACTGTGCCTTAACAGGAAATCGTTTTTTTTTAAGATAAATAAATTGGGGGAAGGTAGCATTGTCTTTTTTTATTTTTATTAAACGCAGTTTTTAACTTAGTTAGAAATAAAAAGTGACCAAAGTTCACATCCGACCAGCGATGCAACGACTGGGTTAAGAAAAAGAAAACGAAGGACTAATTTTAATATGAGGTCCTAATACAGGGACCAAATTGAACTTTTTAGCCAAAGCAGCACTACTAGTCGTGTCGAAGGCTAGATCGGTAATTTTTTACTCGAAATAAAACAGAGGACAAACCTCAGCCGTCAGATGCTTGCTAGATCAGTCGAAAGTCAAAAGCTCCGGTCCCCCCTTCGACTTCTCCAAATCGTCGCCCGCGGGCGGCTTATCCCCACCACCGTATTCCTCCCCCGATCCATTTCCACCTCGATTCCGTCGCCATGCTTCGCCGCCGCCGCCTCCTCCTCCTCCTCTCCGCGCTCTTCCTCTCCTCGGCGATTAAATCGGCCCTGCCGCACGGGGACCACGGCGAGGAATCGGGAGGGAGCTGCGCGTTGGCTCTTGACGCAAGAGTAGTCGCCGAGTACGAGCCAGGCGTCGTTACTGTCGACGGGCACGCCGATGAGTGGGCTGATGTTGACGGGCCGGAGTTTGCTTTGCTGCCCGCTTTGGACCCGGATGAGGACAAAGCCTACGGCGGCGGCAAGATCGCCGTTAAGGTATGGTCACCGCCCCCGTTCAGCTCTATAAATTATCGGCTAAATAAACATCAGAAAACCCCCTGAACAGTTTGGTATTTGCTGGGATTTGTGATAATTTGCTTATCTAGGCTTCTTATGGAAGCAAATTATATCATTGGGTCATAATATAAATCATAAACTGGTATGAAAACCGGCGAGGTGTCTGGTAAAATTGTGCTTGAAGGCCATTTTTATGAGTGAAAAAGGACATGAACAGACATAACATTAGCTAGGAAGTTAAACAAGATACTTTTATGATAGATACGGTAATAATGTGAAAAGCTAAAGGGAGTATATATGACCTAAAAATTACAAAAAGGCAGAAGCTGCTTTTTAAAGAACATCATCAGGTTCCTTCTAAAATCACCCCCTTAAAAACAGCAGCAGTTTCTTTAGGAATGCAAAATGAGTTCTACCAAACACCATTATTGACTTCTGCTTAGGCAACCTAAAAAAGGCAACACCAAACTAAGTGGGGGTTATCAGAAAGCTCCTTTTAAGTTTAAGATTTGATGAGAAACCCCCTAATTGCGTTAACTATATTTTTCAGATGTGTGGGTAAGAATTACCACGTGTAATTTTGCTAAAGTTGGGGTGGGGGGGGGGGGGGGTTGGGTTCTGTTAAACCTTACTCAGGGTGGTTTGCTGATGATTAGAAGGTGATGGGGGTTATCCGTTAATTGTCCAAAGTTGCAGGGTGTTTTTTTTATATTGAGCCTTTATTATCTTAAAAAAAACTAGTTAAATTGTTAATTGTTTATAAGCTTGTTCAGATCTGTTTATATTTTTTCATCGTTTTAGGCATTGCATGATGGTATTAATGTTTACTTCATGTTACAAGTCGAAGGGGAGTATGCCTACTCTAAGGGGTAAGTCTTTGGTTTATTTTTATATCTGTTTTGAGTGTTCTTTATAAATCTAACTATGGATGAAGCTTGTAGCATTAACATACTCATTTTTGCATTAAAGTGCGAGGTTATATTTTAACTATTTTTGGTAAGAAAAAAGAGTTAACCAACTCATACAACCTATGATCAGATGGATGAGGATTTGTTAAGGGGAATTATTTGGTTATACGGAAAAAAAGAGATACAAATGTTGAAATTGCAGTCATTAATAAAAAGAAGATTTAAATTTTAGATCTCACACCCAGACCAATGCTATGAAAGGCAGGCACCTCACTGCATCTCATGCACCTCATTGCGCCTCATGCGCCCTATGATGCGGGGTGGTGGCAAAGTATCCCGCGTCTAATGCGGTAGCCCCCTTTTAGCGCTTTGCAAGTGAGGAGATTTGCGTTGGGTGCATGTAAGGCATAGCCTTGTATATTTTTGTCTTTTAACATTATAATCAGATCTTTATATGTGATAATCCATATCCCGAGAAGCAAAAATAAACCCATTAGGCCTTTTTAGAAGCCCGATTGAGGACCCTAAATGATCCTTCCTAATTATCTGATTTTGCTTCGATATTAATCTTGGTTTGACTTTTGATTTTGAAATTATGAACTAACTACTATGTTGGATGCGCTAACATTATGAATTAAGACCTTATTTTGTAATTTGATAGTAGATATTATTTGTCTTGACATATTTTGTATGTGAAAATTTATAACCATGTTCTTTCGCGCTTGATAATCTGTCTTGAAGAATTATGTGTGCGTTGTGCGCTTTGCTTCACTCGGGCGCATGCATCGTGTTGTGCCACGCAACATTGAGCCCTGCATTACACCTCACGCATTGATAACACTGGCCTGGACTACTCACATGCCAAGCAACTCATAGCCAAATAATTGTTGATTCCTTGTTGCAACTGAATGCAGGATATCTTATATAAACAGAATTTTCATCGTTCTTCTCTTTAAGAGCTTGTTTGTTTGCAAGTAGCTAGTTTGCAGTAGGTATGAAGTAGCTAAAGTAAAATAAAACCTACTACCACTTCTTAGCAAAGAAAACTTGTTTGTTTCATTAAAAGCATTAGCTCTACTTCCTCAATTGCTAATGTGGTGCGTACGTTTCATCATCATTTCCGAAAAACTTTTGAGCCCCTCCGAGCTCGAAAGCGCTTCAGAAGTGGAGGACAATGGTGTGGGGTTCCTACGTGAAGTGGGGGATCACGTGAATTAGGGATCCGATTGGATTGCTCTTCTCAATTCAAAGGTTTACATTGGCCATTTTTGGCACATAACAACTCTTAAAAATAAGGAATCATATTTATATGAAGATTTTTTCAATTGACCCTATTCTTTTGCCCTGATTTTTTTAAACTCACAAGCTTTAAAAATCCTTCATACACTAAAAACATCCAAGCTTATTTTTTAAATAAGAAATTCATGTTAATGGGCTATAAACTATTACAAGTGTGACAATTCAATCTAAATGCTATAATATTTATTAGATTACTGCAATAAAGAGAGGTGATCTTGCTATAATATGTCATGTATTAGTGACTTCCTAATAATATTTTCTATTGTTATCGAGACA